AAAGAGATAACATAGGGAGCCTTGTGGTGGTGAACAGTTCTGTGTCTTAATTATAATGGCGATTACACAAATCTATGCATGTAGTGAAGCTAAATAGACCTACACACACACACACACACACACACATAACTGAGTGCATGTACAACTGGTGAAACCTGAATAAGCTCTGTGGGTTGTACCAATGTCAATTTCCTGCTTTTGATATTGTACTCTAGCTTTACAAGACATTAGCATTTGGAGAAACTGAGTGAAGGGTACATAGGACCTCCCTATACATTTGTTTTATGCAACTTTGGGTGAATCCATAATTATTTCAAAATAAAAAATTAAAGAAAATAAACCCAACTATTTTTACAAAAGCTAAAGCATTCAGGAGTGTCAGGTTGGGGAGTTGGGGGGTTGGGGATGTCTTTCACTTTTTACTTTTTTTAAAAAATATATTTTATTGATTTTTTACAGAGAGAAAGGGAGAAGCATAGAGCGTTAGAAACATTGATGAGAGAGAAACATCAATCAGCTGCCTCCTGTACACTCCCTACTGGGGATGTGCCCACAACCAAGGTACATGCCCTTGACCGGAATCAAACCTGGGACCCTTCAGTCCGCAGGTCAACGCTCTATCCACTGAGCCAAACCAGTTAGGGCTTTCACTTTTACTTTAAACACTTCTATAATTGGTTGAGGTGAATATGTAATAAAGGTGCAGATCTTGGTGGGGGGTGGGGAGAGACACAGATTTCTCATTGAGGAAGTCTGGAGTAGAACTTAAGAATTTACATTTTTAATCGGTTTCAAGGTGAGCTGCTGCTGCTGGTCTGAACCCACACTTAAAGGAAAAGGGCTCCTTAACCTAGTGGTTCAATAATTGCAAAACTAATCTGAGCCATCATTTCAAATTTCACAGAAGCCATTTCTCTCAAATATACAAATATAGACAAATAGTTAATATAAAATGTCTTTCAACTCAAACAAATGGCTACTCAACCTGGTCCTGGAAAATGAATAAATAAGTTGACTTAAATTAAAATGAAACACAATCAGTCTGTACAGGGAGATATCCCCATCTAATCTGTATCATAAAATGAGTCAATCCTTCTGAAACTCTAGACAGAAGCAGCCTTTGTAAAAATCTCCTGCTCGCCCTCAGCATGGTAACCCAGAGCCTTGTATTTTTATATCTACCTACCACCCAAAGGAGGGATGCCCACCATCTCACAGATAGAAGCGGAATGTAGCTCAGTAAGTAAAATGTCACTTTCTTTTCCAGTTCCTTTCTCAGTCACATTTCACACCCTCTTCTCAGAATGTTTATCACCACCAAGAGCCATATTTCTGTGTGAGTATCTGGCAAGTGACTCCCTGCTGAACAGACAGGGAGAAGCCCCGTAAATCAGTCCTGCAGTCCACATGCTGCCTTCCAGCCAGTCATGGACCCTTGAATATTCTTCAAAGCTAAGTACTTCAGAGCAGCACTCTTAAAAATAAAGACCCAGTTACTCAGAACTGGATGGCATTAGAAATACACCAAGTCCCCAAGTTAGAGGAACCCTGAGGGGCTGTGAAGAGTGCCCTGGGCTTTCCAGAGCCCTCATCAGCGCTGACCCAGAGAGTTTAATGGAAACATACCTGTCTGCAATGCCAGCCTTCTCAGATGTAAGAACAAGGTACCCACTGGGACACCAGGAGAAGCAAATAAAGTACAAAACCATGAGTCAGTAATTATCTGTAAGAGATCATGGCAATTCAATGTAAGGAAGCTTGGCATGTCTGCCACACTCTTACTCTTAAAAATAACACAATTTGGAGCATGAACAAATTTTTCTGAATATTGCCACCTTCTTATAATTCAAAGTATGTTCCTCAGAGGAGCAGAATTGCATCACCTGGGAGCTTCTGCAAATTGAGACTCTCCGGACCCACCCAGATCCACCAATCAGAGTCTACATGATAACAAGATCCAAGCTGACTTATGGGCACCTTGAAGTTTGAGCAGCTTTGGGGTAAGGTAGCCTAGTGCTCATCTAGCACTGATTCTCAAACACACACACACACACACACACACACACACAGCTTCCAGATCACATGGTAGATACTCTTACAAGTCAGCAGTCAAGGATCATTAGACTTTTAAGAAACATTTCTACAAAAGAGGGAAGGGAGGGAGGGAAGGGAAGGAAGGAACAAAGGAAGGAAGGAAGGAAGGAAGGAAGGAAGGAAGGAAGGAAGGAAGGAAGGGAGGGAGGAAGGAAGGGAGGAAGGATTAGATGGACAATGTAGATACAATGTAGAGACAGAAAAAAATTGAAAAATCAGTAAGGTCCTCAAAAATATGTTCTTTTTAAATACATATTCAAAGAACAGTGAATAGTTCTTAGAAATTATAACCACTGAAATGAAGAGGGGGGAGCAACAGAATGACTGGAAGACAAAGTTGAGGAAAATTCTGAAAAAAATAAATGTATGACCGTGAAGGAAATAAGATGAAAATTTAGATAATTTCTTCAGGAAGTCCAGCTTTGGTTATAGCAGCTTAACAAAGAAAGTACAGGAAAGAGATGGGGAGGAAACCATTGAAGAAGTAACAGTAGAAAAGGACACAGAAGAGGAAAACATGAGGTTCCATATTTGGGGGCTAAAGTATCCAACATACTAAATGAAAAAAGACTGATTTCAAAGCTCGTAGTCATGAAATTTCAAAACTATGAAAACAATGAGGAAATCCTGGAACTCTGATGTAAGGCCACATACAAAGGATGGCATAGGAAACCTTAATGGCAAAATTGGAAACTAGAAGACAATAAAGCAATGCCTCCAGAAGAGGGAATTATTTGCATACTAGAATTCTATTCTCAGCCAAACTATTGAACAAAGGTAAGGATAGAATAAAAACATTTTTGGAAATGGAAAGACAAATAATTATCTCCTCTGCATTTTTTTTTTACTAGGAAGCTAGTAGACTAGACACTTCCCAAAGGAGTGATAAAACAGGAAAGAGGAAAATTTGGGGTCCAGGAAACAAGGGATCCAGTACAGAGAAAAGCAAGGGAATGTACATGATGATGGTAAAGGGATCTTCTAGGGCAGCAGCCATGAGCCAGTCTAGACTGGAGCAAGGTGAAAAAGGCATCCAGGAGAGATGTATCTAAGAAAAAAACTATCTGATTTGTTTAATTGTCATCAGAGAAATATACCCATTTGGCCCAAGATTTGGGGTTAAACTAGAGCAAAAACAGAAAACTAAGCAAATGAAAAAGAGAGAGTTATTACTTTCAGGAGAAACAACAAAGTAGACAACAAAGGAAAAGCTATCGTATTGTACAGTTCAGTTGTAAAAAAGATGTACTTGGTCATAGACTGAATATTGATCCTACTAAAATGAGTGAAGGTGTCAGGGAGGAAGGGTGTGAAAGCTAAACCTCATTATTAAAGGTAGGAAATTAATAGGTAATACCGAAAGCTGAAAAATAATTTAATCATAGGGTAAGGATGTTATTCTGAAACACGATCACAAATACTAGAAGAACAAGTTAGAAGACTGAAAAGTGGTTACACTGAAGATGACTCAGGAGAGAAAGATTGAGTCAGGGGCTGCTGCTCTTAATTTTAAGCCTTGAAAATAATTTTCCTTTTAAAATTATATCTATGTACACCTTTTTTAAAAATATTTTTTATTGATTTCAGAAAGGAAGAGACAGAGAGATAGAAACATCAATGATGAGAGAGAATCATTGCTTGGTTGCCTCCTGCACACCCCACACTGGGGATCAGGCCCGCAACCCGGGCATGTGCCCTGAATGGGAATTGAACCGTGACCTCCTGGTTCATAGGTCAATGCTCAACCACTGAGCCATGCTGGCCAGGCTATACCTTTATAAAAGTTTAAAAAATAAAGGGACAAAAATAAGCAGAATCAAGATATCAAAATAAATCCATATTTTAGAATCAGATGCATTTATGATAGTGAATGCATATTTCATATTTAATGACAAAACATGTTAAACAGTCTTTCAAGTTTTACAATTTCAAGTTAATAAAATTTTTTAAGGAAGAAAAATGAGGGAATTCTAATGGAATTATATAGCCACAATATTAAAAAGTGCTTCTTAAGACAGTTTCAATACATTAGGTACATTTTAAAATCTTAAGTATTTTGTATTTTTAAAATAACACACATCAATCACTCTTTCCCAAGTATGTGTTCATTGAGAAACAATACTGAGTAGATGATATAGTACAAGATCTCCAGTCCCCAGAGGTTTAAAACATTTATTTCCCATGTTTTCCAGATGTCTATGTTGTAGAATTCTTCATTGATTTTTTTTTCAATTCACTATTTGAATAGTTTTTCCCATTTGTAAACATGAGTATCCAAACAGTAGCTCACAGCACATTTCAGTGTACACATATAAACATTTCAGTGGGACAGAAAACTGCACTTCATTCAAACAACAGATTAGGGATAAAATAGTGGTTTTAAGGTTGTTTCTGACATTTAAAAAGGGTAAAGTATTTTTTATTCCTTTGCTGCCTGTTGTATCTCTAGATACCTAATAATTTTGAAGAGAAGATCCCAGCATGTTATATACACTGAAACCCCCTCCGATAGCAAAGTGAGATTTTCCTTTCTATTTTTCATTTCTGGATGCTGGCTACAGTCAACGATATAATTGTGCTCTCGTATTGATTTTCTTATAAAATGTATCCTTGTTAGATTCATTGATGACTATACATTACTGAGGCACCTGATAAAATTTCATTGTGTTATTACCACTGCACTGGAAATGCTCTTTGCTCGATGAAAAGAACGACTTTTAAGGTGAAGATGAAACTGCGTTTAATGCAGAATTCCAGAGAGTGGCATCCTTACTTGAAAACTAATCAAGAACTCCCACCCTCAAATCCATTCAGTATTATTCTCTGTTGAGAAGATGCACTATATCATTCTAACTTGACCTCAGTTTTCCAATTTTAAGAAAAGATAAATTTCCCACTTTAAACACTTACCCACTGAAAGCTTTAAGTTCTTCAAAAGAATCCTGGTTCTCTCGGGGTGTCCTGTGTGCTGCACCCCCTCTATCACGCTGGATAGACTTTGGTGGCCTGTACCTGGTTAACTGAAATTGATTTGGGTTAGAAGATTTGTTAGAACAACTCAAGTCAAATAGTGACTTTGTGTTTGTAAGGTTGCACAAATATATAACCCATAGTTCTTTTTCCTTTTTCCTTTGGGGGATTATAATAACAACAAGCCCTCCTTTTTACTAAGAAATACTAAAATATTCTCTTTCATTTTTATCAGAATTCTAGGCTTCCTGAAATTCCTAAAGCTCCCCACTGACAAAACAAGGGAGAATACATTTTTTAAAGTCTATTCAACCATTATAGATTATTTCTAAGGAGTCCAACTAAAAAGAAAATAGCTAATACTGTCACTTAAAAATTTGATATGACATACTCTTATAAGATCATTTACTTTTCAGTTAAATGCATCTCAGCCTGTGCCATTCCTGATGATGTAGATCATGGAGAGTCCATTTTAAAAAAATAAAATTTTCTTCTTGGTGAAAAATAATTTTAAAAATCAATTTCTCATTTAAAATTAGAATCATTGTTAATTTTAAATAATAAAAGTATTCAGAATTCCACATCGATTAGATGACAGCAAATTTATGAATAAACTTAATTTTAAGGATTAGGACACAAAACTAGCACTTTGCTACATAAAGATGGTGTCAGATACCACAACACTTCCTAGTTCAGTCTAACCTGAACTAGAAACTATTTTAAACCCATCTTCTTATTTCTTTAAATCACGTGCAATAACTCAGCCAGCTCACAAGGCACTGCTAAAAAGAAATATTTAGGGGCCTGATTGACAAATAGAGAAATAATTCGTAATTAGCATGTCAATTGCAAATGACTGGCTGCTTCCCGGGACTTAAAATAACATGTACACTAAACTGTGCTTTGTAGAATGTTAATTTGTTTAGCAATTTTTTTCTCCAGGCTAGAAATAAGAGCCCAGTTCTTGTCTTGGTTATCAGAGCTCTTCTTACAGGTAGCACATTGGCGAGGTTTTCAAATAATCCGACTTGGCTCCTGACTCCCCACTGTTTCTGGCTTAAACTGGAGTAAGTTACTAGTATTTGTATATCTGCAAGCCTTGGTTTCCACACTTGAAAAGTAAGGACGAAGGTCTGTGCAAGTTCAAGTGAATCAAGAGTTCAAATTGAATTTGATGCTAAAAAGATGAGCAGGTACATAGCAGTTTTCTCCATAAATCATTTTGAGGGAGTTCTGCCCACAATAACATCCCACTTGGCCATTGTATTGTGTGTAAACAAAACTACTCTTTTAAGTTAGTCTAAAAAAATATGCACTTAGGGACTTATAAATAGCATATTTTTATTCATTAAATCGTTTTTAAAATAGGCTGTGAATGAGGACTTCAACGTGCTTAAGAAAATATTATTCATTCTGCAAAGAGTTACTGTGGCCTGGAATACAAACTGGTCACTGGGGACTGTTTGAAAGCCACAAGCAGGAGGAGGTAGAGGCCATTGCCCTCCTTCCTCCATGACAACTCGAACCTCCTCAGCCTTGGCCTGTCCACTCCTGAGGGACGGTCCACTGAGGCTTTTGCAGCCTGAACATGACCGAGATGTTTGATTTGAACAAGGCAGAAAATCACAAAACTAAAAACAAATTTGCTATGGGGGGGGGGCAGTGCTTTGCTTTCCAGATTTTATTTTAAAACATTTATTCAGGCTTCTCTATGATTTCAAGCCCCACAGCCCAAAGGCATTAAACTGAATTGAAGCTTAATGGCCTGAAAAGTTGCCTTTTGAATTAAAGCACATCCAGTTACAAAGCAGGGAGGGGCGGGCATCTGCAACTAATCTGAAAATTCCATCTGATCCTGGACTTTGAGGACACAGAAATAGCCAGAAGAATACAGTGCTTTCAAATCACATAGGGGAGCATATGATTTCTGGGAGCTGGGTTTCTGTGCCAATGCCCAGTTAAGGGGCTTTCCCATTAGTGAAGAATAAACTATAATATAGAGAGGTTTAGATGGGCCTGGAGAAGAAAAAAAATAAGCTTTTCCAGATTCTCTTCTCACTAAGTTATTCACTTAATATGGAGGCAAATTCTACAACCTTTCCTTTTATAGGTAAATGGGACATTGTTCCCAAACCAGTGGGCTCCAGAATAGGAATGATATACTGAATACAGGTAGAAATTTTTAATTTTTTACTTTAGTGTAAGTTGCCTGCATGTTTATTTAGCAAGTGGTTCTTTGGAGATAAGAGAAATAAAGCAGGGAACAGAAGAAAACTTCCAAAAAACTACAACTAAAATTCTCCAGGGAAAAGAGAAAATATTGCATCCATGAAACAAGAAGGAGCTATAAACACAGAATAAACAAGGATGGGGGGGGGGGGGGGGGGAGGAGGAGAAAAGATAGCCAAAATAAAAAGTCCAGTAAGAGGACTGGGAGATAAAGTCAATAAAATCTTCTAAGGAAATAGACAAAGAAAGTTTTAAGAAAATTTGAGTATCAATATAAAATATTAAACAGCTGATAAATAAAACTGACAAAAAGAAAATGATTGGGAGACAATTCTCAAATAAATAATATAAGAAATATTCCCAGATCTGAAGTTTATAAATCTGAGAAATGAAAGGCCCTCTGAGAATCTAGTATAATCAATGAAAGATGTTCACATAAGGAATTTTAGATCACTCTGGATAAAGGGAAGATCCTAATAGCTTCCAAATGGGAGACCCGGCACATACAAAGGATCAGGAATAAGAATGGCATCAGACTTCTCAAAAGCTACATTGGGACCTACAGAACAATGAAACAATGAAGATCATATTCAATTAGCATTTCATAGCCAAACTATCATGCCAATGTGAGGGTAGAATAAATATATTTTAAAACCAGATGAAATGATCACTTCTCATGCCCTTTTTTTCTCAGGGACCCTTTTTTGAGCAAAACAAGGAGGAGTTAAATATGCACTTTAGCCAGTTTGGCTCAGTGGATGGAGTGTCGGCCTGTGGACTGAAGGTTCCCGGGTTTGATTCCGGTCAAGGGCACATGCCCTGGTTGTGGGCTCGATCCCCAGTAGGGGACGTGCAGGAGGCAGCCAATTAATGATTCTCTCTCATCATTGATGTTTCTATCTCTCTCTCTCTCCCTCTCCCTTCCTCTCTGAAATCAATAAAAATATATTTTTTAAAATATGCACTTAAAGAAGATAGGGAATCCAATGTAGACAAAAGGCAAGGAGAATCCCAGGGCCACAGGCCTCTAGAGCAACTGGCTCAGATTAGAGCAAGAAGATCCAGGATCCAAGGGAGATACTTCCAGGGAGAAAGAAATCAAAGGAAGGGTATAAGGGAAACCTGATAGAGTGTCATACAGGTTAACCTTTAGGGAAACTGGACAGAGAGACATAAGAGGGTATGGAACAATCTATTACTGAGTACAAAGAAAACAAATCCAATGAAAATCAAGAAAGCTAGTAACTCTGGGGCAAGTGAAAACTTATATGACAGAAGAAATGTAATCATGGTACACTCTTTGGCTCAGACAAGAATAATAGTAGTCATCCTATATAATAAAAGGGTAATATGCAAATTGACCAAACGGCAGCACAACCTGTCACTGTGATGCTCACTTTCCACCAGGGGGCAGACACTCAACACAGGAGCTGCCCCCTGGTGGTCAGTGAGCTCCCACAGGGAGGGCATCACTCAGCCAGAAGCCGGGCTGAAGGTTAGTGAGCGCAGTGGCGGTGGCGGGACCCCCTTCCGCTGTAGCACTAAGTGGTCAGTTGAACATCCCCGGAGGGCTCCTGGACTGCAAAAGGGCACAGGCTGGGCTGAGGGGACCTCTCCCCTTCCCCTCCCCCCACCCCCCGCCCCAGCGCAG